TTTCCATTTTTCACAGAATAGTTAACTTTTTATCAAACATTACTGCTGCTTTAATGTGCATGTTGCATTTCAATACTGTACATCTTTAGGCTGGGCTAAGTTTAACTACTTTATTCACTGTTGAGTAGTTTAATCAACAGAAATGCACCATATTCTATAAAACCATCATTTGCTTGTAGCATCTCCGACCTGTGAGAACCACATACTGTATCTCAGACAGAAAAACATGTCTGTGTTCAGCTTTGTGACATTGCATTTCACAGCTAAGCCAAAAGGATTATTAAATAGCTTGCTCAGCGTAAGAAGTAGGAGAAATTTCTCAACGCGTAAAGAAACACTTAATCCTTCAGTTTATTTCAAACATTCAAAATGACCAAAATCACCACACCCACAGGGAAAAAATAACTACAGGCGCAATTAAATATGTGATATTTAACAAAGTGAAATGTAAGCAATATACTTAGACTGACTTTATTAATCCCAAAGGGAAATTCTGTTGTTACAGCAATATTCAACAAGGGGTAAACAAGCAAGAAGACAACACACAATGTTAGGGTATAAAATGAAGGTTAAATAAAGTCAAATAAAATAAAGTAAAAATGTAGAAAATATAATATAGCAAAAGTCAACAAATTTACAATAATATATAAGCGATAACAGAAATGTGCAAATGTGCTTATATTGAAGCACTGAAAAGTCTTATTGCTGTTGGGAGGAAAGACCTCCTTGGAGCAGTGGGGTTGTATCAGTCTGTTGCTGAAGCTTCTCCTCAGTTTTCTGGAGGGGTTGCGAGGTGTTGTCCATGATGACCTGCAGTTTGGTCAGCATCTTCTGCTCCACCACCTCCTCCAGGGTGACCAACTGACAGCCAACAACAGACTGGGCTTACCAGGCTTATACCAATATAAGTAGAACATACTTAGAGGTTTTAGAAAAGCTAGAAAATTTCTGAATGATAAAGACAGAACATAATTATATGTTAATGTCATTGACTGTAACTCAGTTGTTCCTGTGAATACTTGTTTTTGGACAATGTGATGACAGTGAACAGCAGAGGGACAGCCTGCCAATGACTGAGGTGAGAGATTAACTCTTGTGATGCACCAAGTCAACAAAAACAGCCTAAATTTAAAACAAGATAAAAATGATTATTTTACTAAGTCAGACTAAAAGGGCAAAAAGTATTTTTGTATTTCAGACAACAGATTGAAACAGAGGTTTAGAGACAGACAATGGATGCTGCTAGATTAAGGACACACCACCTGAATAATTACTATCTAAGAAATTACCCTTTCAGGAGAGAAGGTTCCAGGGTAACTCATGGCTTCATTACAGTCCGTTGTTAAACTCAATGCTGTGCGATTATTGTGCCCAGTCCCTTAATGATCAAGGAAGACAAACGCTGCTTTTGTGTCTGTTGGAATTAAACAGAGGAAGAAAGCAGGTAAAACAGTCATTAGAAGAGTGGGAGCCAAAAACATGCAGCGCCACATTGTTGAATAAAGTCCAGCCCATTACTGCAAAACTGTCACATGCACAAAAGAAACAGCAGGACGAGGCCTGAGAAAACTGGAGGACTGTAGGTTGAACTCAATATCTGACTGGTGCGGCGGCAATTTCTGTTAATTCAGCATCTGCAGCTGGACTCATGCAAACATTGAAATGATTGAGCTGAGTGGAATGAAAGGAAAGAAGGGACACAAAGTCTTTATATAGCAAATACATGCAAAGGTCAGTGGTACCATAAGTCACATGCTATCCTTCTTCACTGATGACCCAGAATAACGTCTTCAGAGACATCACACAGACTCTCTTTCTCTTTCTTTTTCTCTTTCTTTTTCTTTTTCTCTTTCTCTTTCTCAAACTTTCAATTAAAGGTGGAAGAATTCATCTGTGTGGTGAACGAAGCAGTAAAAGAGGAGAGCAGTGAGAGGACATGAACGAAAAAGACGTTTTGATTTTACTGCTAAGGTGAAAATAAAATACGGTAGATCATAGCAAACATTGTCAAAGAAATCAAACAGGGCATGAAGTGAATCTGCCAGTGGTGCAATATTTACTGACTGGACACAGCACATGACTGGAATAAACCTTGAGTCAGCATGCCTTTGTTTTACTCACAATAGCCTTTAACCCAGACAGGAATTCATTGGATTCATTGATACAAAAAAAAATAAAAATGGGTGAGGGACTTGCAAAGGTGGCCACTGATCAGTTGGTTCTTACAGTTTCATGATTAAGAGGGCAGAACCATAAGAAAGCAGCAAACACATTGAGCAATGTGTAAGGAGAAGACTTGTGAGCGCTGTTGCCTCTGCAGAACACATTGAGTCAACCTCGAAATGCAATCATCTCAATCTCAGAATCACAATCTCACTGAACTTAGTTCATGACTTGTGAGTTTTCTTTCACCAGTCTGGCGAGTATAAAAAACTCTTTCAGGGAGTTAGCTGTTTGACCATTTGTGTCCTACCAGATGGACTGAACACACAGCTGCTGTCCAACTGTTGCTTGCACAATATGAGACTGTTCTAACTTCGTTTCAGAACACGGCTTTGTGCAGTGTGAACAGAGTCAACAGACTGCACAAGAGCTTCCTCTAAGAAAACATTCTTCTTGGGCTTCAACCAGCCCAAGATGTGGCATCAAATTTAGAAAGTCTAAATGTCTTGCTTCACTACAAAGAGTAAACGGTGTCTGCCATGCTGTCAGCTACTGAGCATATTAAAGAACGCAAACAAACAAAAGCATCTCATCTGGTTGTATTCTCATGACAAGCAACTTGCCTCATCATTGGACCTACTACTCATCCAGAGGTCCATGGTGTTCTTCCAAACGCCTCTCAAGACCTGCAAAACCACATGTCCATCTGTCACATTAATTACATCTCATTCATAGTGGCCTCTGGGCTCTTGGTTGCCTGTGTGATCAGGGTCTTTCATTCCTGATTACCAAGTTTCGACCAGATCCAGGAAGATTATTAGTGGTTTTAAAATCCTTGAATCTGAGAATGATGTGCTCTTGGGCTCTTTTCAATGCTACGCAAATCTTCTTTTTTCCTTCCCCAGATCTGTGGCTTAACACAATCCTGATTTGCAGGTCCATAGACAGCTCTCTTGACCTCATTGCTTGGTTTTCACTCTGACATTTACCATCAGTCGTGAGACCTTACATGGACAGGGGCATGTGTTTCCAAATTATGACCAATGAATTTATTTAGGCAACGGTGGACAGACTCCGGTCATGTTGTAAGAGCATCTCAAGGACCACTGACAGAAGTAAAACACATTGGAGATCATCAGAGTTCCAAAAACACACACCACTCTTCAAAAAAACAGATCATGGGTTTGACTCCCGATCTGCGCAATAACAAGTTGTACGCCAGTAGGGAGCTAGACTCACTGATCCACCTCACCAGGATCTACAGCAAAGACATCAGGATGTCAGTCAGACTGGATAAGTGTGGCCGCATGGTGGCAAAGAGAGGGAAGATGATCAGCACTAAGGGTGTAGAGTTACCAGAAGGCAGAATAGCAGACATACAGGACAGCTACCTGGGTCTTCCACAGGTCAACAGCCAAATGCCTCCACATGGAGACAAAGAATCCAAACCATCATTGTGTACTCCCCACTACATACCCAGCTGGAATAGTGAGTCGGCCACAGGAGATGGATGCAGCTGATGTCAAGACACCAAAATTCCTCAAAGTGCGCTGGTGGTTCCACCTAAAGTCCTGCACCCCGAGACTCTACAAGCAGTGAGAAATGGGAGGGCAAGGATTAGTGAGTGTCTGAGCCTCAATCCAGGAGGACACAAGAAACATCTTTTTATACATCAGGAAGATGGCGTCTTGGAGTAACCTGCTCAGAGAGTGAAGACAGGAAGGAAAGACAGAGGGTGATGAGGTGGAAGAGGAGCTATCCTGGGTGACCAAACTGCTCCAATCGGATGTACCATCAACAGGGAAAGGATGTAGCTGACATCAAAAAATCCCACTTGTGGCTAGAAAAGCCCGACTTGAAGGACAGCACCATCATGGCAGCACCAGAACAGGCTCTGAGCACCAGATGCGAGGAGGCAGGAATCTACCATAACAGACAGGACTCAAGATGCAGGCCATGCAAAGACAGTCCAGCACATAGTAGCAGGATGCAACATACAAGCTGGGACAGCGCACACGGACAGATACAACCAAGAGGCTGGGCTAGTATACAGGAACATCTGTGCTGGGTATGGACTAGAAGCCCCCAGGTCCCACAAAACTGGAAGTGGCTGAGAACACCAGAGTGAAGATCCTGTAGGACTTTAAATTCCAGTCTGACAAACAGGTGCTGACTAACCAACCTGACATAGTGGTGGTTGACAAGGAGCAGAGGAGGGCATGGTTGACGTAGCAGTCCAAGCTGATGGTAACATCAGGAGGAAAGAGCACAAAGAGATCAGGAAGCACCAGGGGCTAAATAACACCTGGAACAAATATGGAAGGTGAAGGCTAAAGTGGTCCCAGTGGTAACAGGAGCATTAGGTGCTGAGATCCCTAAACTGGAAGAGTAACTCCAGTAGATTCCAGATAAAACATCTGTCTAGAAGAGTGAGTGCTATAAACAGGTAAGAGACTGTGCAGAACCCTCAAACTATCAGGCTTCTGGTAGAGGACCTGAGCTGAGAAATACACATGCCATCAAGTGCGTTTGTTATTTATCTCTTCACATTCAGTTAGGTGGCTGTGACTTCTCCTGACCCTATTTTACTTCTGTGTTTGTATCTAAGTTTGTATCCCCTGTATTGCGAGTCAGTGAAGCACTAAAAGCTGAATCCTGCTTCTTATTCCACACTGTAGTAAGTAATTTCTAATATATATCTTCAGAAATAGAAATGAGTGGCGTGTATAGAGACTCAGAGGTTAGTAAACATGAGTACAGATTCAAAATCAACATGAGAGCTGCAATTTTCCTACGTTATTGTGACACTTAAACCACAAATGTTTATGTTAAAGTTGAAGGAGCATGATGCTGGGATGTTTTAACAATTTAAAGTGTGTAATTTTTGTGTCATACATAGAAACAAATCATTAAAATTACTCATTGAGAATTCACCTAACTAATATTTAAAAGTTATATTCAAGTTGATCAATTTTTAAAAAGTTAAAATTAGATTGTAAAATTCAAGTTGAATCAGAAACTCAAACTCGTTTCTCAAATACGCTCGATTAAATTCCGATAATAAAATCTGTACACAACGGATGAATGGCACGAAACTTCTCTATTTGATTATGAGAATTTTATATAGCAGGCCTACTTGATTATTTTGTGAGATACTGTGAAGATTTTTTTTTGCGAATATGTTCCATGTGATTCCCATTGCACAAGCCAGGACCTATTTCTGTGCTCCATCCTTTCCCCTTTGACAGTAAACACAAGACAAAGTAACAAGGGTGGTCCTCTGTACCTTGTTATTAAAGATGATTTTTACCATTAGTCTTGGAAACCTTTAAGGGCAGTGCTCACCCAAGAAGACCCACATCTCAAGGAGGAGAGGAGATATGAGGCTGGAGAAAAAGCGGTTGGGGAAAATAAGCAGCTGTATTTCTGTACTCGTCCACACCCCACAGAGGAGGATAACATAATTACACCCGCACAGGACTGTGTAAACCACTTCAAGGGCGACAGAGGGGGCCGCTGCTACTAAATTTGACCAGTGTGGAAGTATAGAGCGGAGACTTGGCTGGGAGGAGCTGCAAAAAGCTGCAGAGAGAGACCCTTTCCTGAACTCCCTGTCTGAGGAACAGACACACAACCGTGTGACTAACAGAGATGCCAGGCATGGTGCTGCTCTAAACAAAACACAACAAATCTAATCTAAACTTCCCAGTGATTGCTGGAGGGTTCACCACAGTTCAAGGTTCCCGGTCCAGGAAATGTCTCTTCAACAAAGAACTAACAAACAGCTACTGTGTTTTTATTCAGACAACTAGAGATAATAATAATTGCTTGTGAGGGGGCTGGATGGAACCAACGGATGTTCTCATTTCACTGTCTGACAATCTTCTCAAGCAGATGACTAAGTCACTTGTGATATCTATGATGTAAAACAGTTTTGGAAAGGCATGAGTTAATAGTTTTTGTTGTTGCTTAAGTTGTGATCCTGGAAGCTCATTCTAGACAAATTAAGTATCAAGGGAATATTGACTATAAAGATGCATCAAAACCAAAGAAACTCTGGTCCTTTTAGCCTTTGGTTAATGTAGCATCTGCATATCAGTGCTGTGGAACTTTTACTGCTCATGTTTTCACAGCCCACCCTCTTAGTCTCAATTCCTAATTATTTAATCAGCTGCTGAGAAAAAGAAGAAGTCGCTTGATGCCAATCAGATAGCACAGATTTTTAATTAGGACTCCAACTAAAAAAAAAAAATTCACTGTAAATGATTTCCTTGATTAACTGATTTGATATAAGGTCTATAGAATTGCCAGAAAATTGTTTAAGGGAAAAAAAAGTTGATTAGTGTTTTCCAAAGCTTTCCAAAGTTTTCCAAGATAGCATCCTCAATTGTCTTGTTGTGTTCACCATCCAAATATAATCAATTTATTGTCCTACAGGAGTAAAGAAACCAAATAATTTAGACTTTTTTTTTTAGCCTTTCAACAGATTGCTGGACCAGATTAATTGATTACCGAAATAGTTGACGATAAGTTTGGTAAGTATAAATAAATAAATCGTCAGACTAAGGCTCGGGTTTGATTGGCTGACCTGTGAAAAAAATACTTCCAACAGCTCCAGAGCCGTAAACTGTCGGTGGTCATGGCAACAGACGACACCCATTCGCTAAATCCATATAAGGTTAAAACCTACCGCTCTGGTTGAAAGTGATATACTGCTGTCTAAACACGTGAAACCAACTTGAAATACACCCATTTTAAGCACAAGTTAAGTAAAAAATCTTTTTCAACTCTGAGTAAGTACAACACTGGTGCCAAAAATGTCAATTCCAGTTGTCCTCATTTGACGAACATAACGGAGGAAAGTCCGCCTTCACCTTAGCTACCGTTAGCTTCTGCATGCTATCCTCACATATCGTTAGCTCGTTAATGCCGCGCGTTTTGGCGTCCGTTCAGTTTAAAAATGACCTAACATGTGGACATTTGGGCAGAGTTTCTGTTCGCCCCTGACTCAGACTACTGGCTTCGGGCGTGGAGACACTCCCCCCCATGACCCTCCCCCTCTGAGCTGAAGTGATGCAGCGGTGAGCGGTCACTGGGGGGAAGGAGGGCAGCCCCGGCGACTCAGCTACTCGGCAGCTAGCTGAGGAGGACGGTGGCTGTGTGGCAGAGCTGCTCGGGGTTCAGGAGCGACACAAACCGCCTGGCTCGGGATATATATTGATCCAGATCAGGGCCCATAGGCACAACTTGGCTACCCGAGGATTCCAACATGCACCGAATAACGGGGAGAGAGGGAGGAGACAGTTTAATTGAAATGAGCCCGACAGACTCCTTTAACGGTGAGTAGCAGAGAGCCTCGACCAGCCTGCCTGCCTGCCTTCACACTGGGGGTACATGTAAACCTTTTAAAATGTTGCTATCATCAGCTAATATATACTTTTTAGGGAAACAATTAAGACTAAACTGGGCAAGGTACACCCCAATTTGTGCAACATTTAAAATAACTTTAAAAATAGGTTAAACTTTCAGGAGATTACCAAACATAGACTAAACTCTTTAAGTCACATGAACTCATTCATGTTTTGAACATGTTCATGAAATTAAACTGTAGTTACCCTAAGCTGTGTTTTTCATCCCAGAGCCAAGGTAAACAGCTTATTTTAACCACTGTTTGGACAATTTAGAAATCACAGTGTTTCCTTTGCCAGCAACCACAAGCTGCATCTCCCTCACCTATTCAGAGGACTTATTAACATCAATTTAGGAACATTTCCTCAGCTATTTTAAAATGTATCCACCCTGCTCATTTCCCCTTTAACGCCCCAACCAGCTCATCGTCTGGTTTTCTTTTCATGGAGGCAGCAGTGACTTGCAGGCAGCCAGCCTCCGACAGCTGGCCAGCCTACTGGAAACACTCTGTCACTTACAGACAGCCACTATATCCACCAGCACAAACCCCAAATCCCTCTCTGTTGCTTGCTAAATGTAAATTTTAAAACCAACGCTCAGACAGAGGGTTTCGTTTAGTCATTTTATGGCTATAAAATGTGTGTTGCTGAATGAATGATGAATCACCCCGGATAGTCTCCAGCAAACCGAATCAGTATGAATCAATGTAAGAGTGTAGTGTTTCATCTGCAGCACTGAGAGCTTTTACATTATAGTGGTCTAGCTGAGACAGAAGTCTGATTACTGCAGGATCATGAACTACAGTAACTGTTATTTCGGTGTTGAGTGTGTTTGTGGTGTGTGGAGATAACAGTGGGAGCAGTGTTTTTCTCACAGTACACTCACAGCTCCACAGTATTAAATCACAGTGATGCTCTAAATCTTAATTTTTTATACAGATTATTTTGCTTACAGCCTCTTTGTGGAGCATGATGAACATACTGTAGGTACACATTACAAAGCCATTCCTGGTTGCGTTTGGATCATTCAGATTCAGACTAGTTTTGATTGTTGCTTGTTGTTAAATTAGCAGTTACCCTGACTGTAAATGATCTTGATATGTGAGCTTGCTCGGTAAAACTGGCACAAGTGTGCACCTGAAACTTGCAAGATGCCTTCCTGTCCCAGGAAATGAAACAAACTCACCCACAATGTTCACATGCAAACTGTTGCGGTTTCAAGTGAGGTAGTGGAATTTTCATGTTCACCTTAAAAAAAACCCTTATAACAATGTCAGATTCAGTACAGCTACATAGATACCAAAGAGTTGTAGTAGTAGCTTGGAGATCTGTTATCCCGGTTATTTATATAAGCTCTATTTGTTGTTGCTGTTTTACGACTCAGCAGAATTTGGTTTTATTATCAGTGCAGAGTTGTAAAATAATCTTATTTGCTTAAATAATAGATGTACACGCGACCTGTGCTCTTCAGTCTGTTGGGTTGCTGTGGTTTTAAAAAAAAGAGAGACAGTAGCAGCCTTGTGGCATTTCCACTGTGATCAGCTGCTCACTCTTGAACAAAGCCTTAACTGTGGAGGCTACTTAGTGGGAAAACACTCTTGGCATAGTTAACTGGATAATACTGCGTCCAATAGTGTATCCAACTGTGCAAAAATATGCTCAGCTGTTCAAGAGGCGTTCTCATATGTTGTCAAAGAAACGCATCCAAATCAAAGTCAGTATCATGTCCGTTTTTTAAGAAGATGAAACAAGAAGTTGGTTTTTCCATTGTTGTTAAAACGCTGTAAAAGTGTAGCATAGACTACCTGTTTTAGATTTAAGTCTAAATCTGAAGGAAACTACCCTGCACAGTTCTGATAGTCAAGTATTTTTTAAGGGCTCACAGCTGCTGGACAACAGCCCCCTCTAAACTTCCACATCCTGCCATGACTCAAATGATAAGAAAGGTAGCATGACCCCGGTGTGTATGCAAATGTTAACAGTAAGCTTCATTTTCATATTGTAGATATTATATATAGTTGGTAAATGTATACTATGGAACATAAAGTGCTAAATATGCTGAGTACAGCTAAATGATTTTATACAGCAGAATAACTACCAAACGTATGCAGTGGGAAAAGCTGTGTCTCAGGTTGTGTAGTCTTTCAGTTCTGGAGTGCAGATTTTATAATTAATGGCATTCATTTTAGTTTAGAACCACAGTTACATTTTGCTAACTTTGTCTGTCATAATACAGACAAAAGGTTTGAATGCTTGTTTCCTCTGTAAGCACTTTTTTTGCGTTGAGTCCAGACTAAATATAACCTCAGAGAGACCATCAATTAGGTCTGTTGCATTTCTATTTCTAAAACACAGACAGAGGCTGAAACCTCTATTTTTTTTTAGCGATAGTGATGCCAACAGTGCTTGATGTTTGTCTTGTTCTCCATCACCCTTGCTATTTGTTTATGTAAATCTTTTTCTCAGAATGTACTTCAGAAGGTTATAATTTCACGTGAAAGCAAATGAGTGGTATGTAAAAGAAGAACTTTATGATACCTAATGCCGTGTTTCACCGTACAGGCAGCTTTCGTTTTCAGGCACGTTGAGGGGGTTTACCGGAGCTCTCAGTCACTCCTGAAGTGGCAGAGTCACTGCAACATGGCTGCATGTATTCTTTCACAGTGACTTCTTTCTCTGTTAAGTCACCCTGCCTGCCCTGTGGGACCGCTGCCACAGAAAGCTGTACAAATATAGACCACAACATTGGCTGTCTGTCAATGCTTCCTACTTTACTCAGGCAGCTGTTCATATGCCTGAATCTTTACTGCCACCAACCTGCCTGTTTGAGATGACTCATAATTGCTACTTATTATTATTCTTTTATGGTGTTTAGAGAGTCACCCTGTAATTAACTCTGATATATCTGTTGCAGATGATATAAATGGCTATCACCAACATCCGTCATCCAGCTCAGGATCCCTCCAGCAGGGACAATCAGGGGTAAAAACCAAACTCACCACGTTTACACTCACACAACACATTTATATGGATGTTTCTGTAAACCAGCTTCTTTTGCTATGATAGTGGACAGTCTGTGAGAGTTTCTTTTCATACCAGTACTGAACAGAATTTTAGAATTACTGGTATTGTTTAATATTAATTATGTTTGCAGGTACCTGAGAATAATCTGGCTATATTTTGATTTAAATTTGAACCAACTATTTAAATATCTGAAAACGTGCCTTACTTATATGTTAATATTTAGCTTTCCAGATCAGATTCAGGAATGATTTCTGCTTGACAGTGTTGTATCTTCACCTCCAGCTAACCTCCTGCACAGTGACAGGAAGTTCACTGTGTACAAGTGAAGTGCTTTATTTGGATTTCCTTCCCTCTTTTTTTCCTCTTATATTTGTTTACTTAGCCACTAAAGCAGGATGGTTTAGTTTGTGATCTTAGGAGCCACACCTAATAGATTTTAGTGTATTGCTATGCTAGTAGACGATCTACAAAAGTCATGAGGGAGATAGAGATAATCCTAATGCTTCTGTGTTTTCCTCCTTCCACACTGCACTTAAAGTCTCCTTTAACGCCTGATGTGCACGTAGAGACCTGTGAGTCTCTCAACACCAGCCAGGCCTCCCTGGCCTCTTCTGATCACAGCGACAGTCCACACTTTGAGACTGACACCTTAGAGCGAATCAGTGCTTTGACTGGGGTAAGACACCAGTCAGGGGTGGAGTTGGTTGCTGTTGTGTTGGTGTTTCTGTGTTTTGTGTCGCCTCGCATCATCTCGGAACTCAAACCTTTAACCGTCCTAGACCTTACTGATTGTGCTTTTGTGTTGTTGTTGTTTTTTTAACATAATCCATAATTTGTAAAGATGCAAAAACATAATGCAAGTATGGAGTGTCTGCTTTGTTGATCCATGTTAATCACTTCTGTGGTGGTTGCTGCTGCAGTTTTAGCCGTTGTGCTGTTGAATTTGTCGTCTTGTTAGACTTTCTCTCACTGTCCAATCGGTTCATCCACAGATTTGGAGAAAACGGGCACTATTCCTGAAGTTTCGTTCCAGGGTATGGCATGGTAAAACAGGCTTGTGATGTGATGCAGCCTTGTGTTTATGTCTGCCTGCCTGCCCGCTATTATTTCCTCCTTGAAGATTGTCTGCTCAGTGTTGAGTTTCTCCACTGGCATAGATGTTCAAAGAGTGATGTTAAGACATCAGGGAAATCAATATTCATTTCTTGGTAGAGAGCTGATGTTGTCCTTTGGAAAGCATGTTTTTTTTTCCCTCAGAGTAATGGAAACGTGCTGGCTTGAGCTATGTATTGATGTATCATGAGAGTTCATTAAAAATAGAGAAGGCCTTTTTCCTTGCTTTCTTCTCACCTGTGATAACTGTCTGCTTCACTGAGGAGACAGCAACAGCCTGGGAGTGTTACAGCATAATTAGAAGGTGCACACTTGCACATACACGTGCAGATTTTCATATGCACTGTGCAGTGCATCTGTCATTTGCCTAGCTGTTTTTATGTGAGTGACCTTAAGTGTGTGTATACTTTAAGAATATATACTGTAATCATGGCCCTGCCCTGTGCTTATGACAGGACTGAACTGTGATGCGGCTAACCATATACTGTACTACAGGCTTCTTCCTTTGAATCCCCTAAATGTGGCCTTGTTTAAACAGCGTGTAACCCTATTTTAATGAAAAGTGTCATCATAACCGTATATATAACAACAGCCACTCTTCAGAATAACAGAACAGTGCAGAAAGCTTTACTAGTCATCTGGCTTCCTCCAATTAAAGCCTGCAATTAAGCTGATTATAAAATGACATCAAGGAGTTTTAGGGGGTCTGCTTCACATGTTTAATTGTGTCTGCACTCACTGTCAATCTCTGCGGTCTTACAAGACTTAGGAAATATAGGTCTTGTTTCATTACAAATTGAAAGTTTCATGTGCATGTAACTTTTAAAGAGGGTTTTGTGTGTGTACTCTTGAAGATTGTAATTTTCTGCAAATCTGGAGATCCAACTGGAAATGTAGTTCTGGAGAAATGTCCCAAACCCTCTCCATGTTTAGAACAAATTTGAGGATTGCAGTAATCTGTTGCATGTGGTAAAGACACATTACAGTGATACAGTAGTCAGCATTTACTTATTGTACTGTGGAAAAAAAGATATTGCCTTACTTTAGTTGTTACTGAAAAACAGTATAGTATAAATGTTAAAGAGAGAGTGTTAGGTTTTGTGGCACAAATATCAAAGTGCATTAAAAAAAAGTCTAAATCTTTCAGTCCAAAGCAGAAACACTTTAAAGGTATTTTTTAAAGGACCCCCTCCCTGAAACTGAAAGCCTACTTATGTTAAACCATGTTCTACATTTATCCTCCTTAATTAAGATGAAAGGCAGCATACACATGTTGAAACGCCCAGTAGTTACGGCTTACTTAGCTGATGTATAGAAGTCTGTGGCTGCTGCCAGCTTCACTGAGCAGAGGCACGTCCCAGCAGATGCACTGATTCCATACGGCTGATCTGTAATTACCACAAATTAGAGAGTTTCTGCAGCAACGTCCCAGTTAAAGAAAGCATCCACCCTGCCACGGTCAACATGGTCCAATCTGGTCGGGGAGGTAATGCGGACCAGTGGTTAAAACGTATGCATAATTTGGGACAAGAAAACCGTGGAAATGTGGAAAACATAGACAAGTATACACGTTGACTGCTCTTAGCTGGAATAGCAGGAACCAGGGTGGTAGATAAAGCTGTAGTGTGGAAAAAAAAAAAAGCTGTGTAGCAGGGCCTTCATAGTTAATTTATGCAGCATGTCTGAGCGTATTTACATACAGTGGGCCTGTGATGAGCTCAGATTGTTTAATCATCTAGTTTTAAAAGAGTCGACGCAAAAAAGGAGGCATGTGTGCCAGTTATCAGTTTGGGTTTTCTTATCAGTCTTTCTAGAAATCATTGCGTCATGTGGTTATTTGGTTTTTGAGCTGAGGTTTCATTGGTTATCTGAAATGTGAGGCAGCATATTTGAAGGACTGTGATACAGTACAAGGATGCCACCTCCCCTTTCTGATGCTGTGCTCTTTATTAGATGAGCTGGCTGGCTGCAGCTACACTATCCTCGTGCTGATGTCATCTGTCGGACTCTCCTTTGCCTCTTTGCTAGTTTCCCTCCTCCTTTCCTTCTTTCTCTCTCTTCTGGGTGACTGAGCAAGTGAGGGCTTGTCCTGGGAGGTTAGTGGACTGGTCGGATCTGTCTGGACGCAGATCAATGGAGTGAGAGAGGCAGTGCTTTCAGAGCTGGACTCCCTGGAGAAAGGCAGTTTTTTCTTTATTGGCCAGCCGGCCTTTCCGCTGATGCATCATAACCATAAAGGGAGTGGGCCATGGAGGTAAAGTGCACTTCCTTTCCTCCCTTCTCCGACAGTGTGAGGGTTACGAGCTGGGCGAACTCTGTCCGAATGACAGTAGCCATACATGCGACTAAGTGGGATGTTGTGGCTTTTGTTGTGCGAAATGGATTCTCTGTACCGCATGTGGTAAAGTGTAGGTAGCTACTGTAGTGAGGTGCAGGAAAGTACATTGTACGTAGTTATTTTTAGCTTTCTGAGCAGCTGAAGGAGCACTGACAGCACACAGCCATGGCTTCTCCTCCTCTCCTAAAGCATTCCTGTGCAGTCCATTTTTGTCAGCCTTGTAGCTGCTGAAGAGACGGCCTCTGCAGAGCTAGCATTAGCTGATACACATACTTGGAATTTCTCTGGCCACCAATACAGGTGGTCTCAGTCACTGCAAGCCTTGGGATTCACAGAAAAGCGTAGACTAATCAAGTGGAGTAACGTTGGAACCTTAAGCTGAGTTTGTGTTTAATCAGCTGACAGATGGCTTGAAATCAAACAATAAGATGATTCAGGATATCTCACTGGATGTCATTCTATATTTAGCATTTTTCTCATCTTCTTTCGAAGCATCAACAATGAAACATCTTAGTCTTAGCAGATGCCCTACATTTGGCATGGTGCTTGTGTTTGGAGTGAAAATACAATAATCACTATTTTTGTTTTAGACAAACGGTCGAGTGTGATGTGGTGTGGAGGTCTTGTTCTAGTTTGACTCTGGTCTGCCGAATGCATCCAAAAACTTGTTGATGCTGCACCTTTGTATGTGTGCGTTTTAATGCGTCCACCTCTGTGTTGTGTCATTATAGGTTGACAAACAAACACAAAGCAAAGACTCCGTGTTCTTCCGTGACGGAGTGCGCAGGATTGATTTTGTCCTGTCCTATGTTGAAGATAAAGATGGCGAGAGAAAACAGGTAAGAAATAACTTCCCTATACTGTGTATACATGCGACATTATTCCAGTTCAGGTTTTATTTCTTGAGGCATGCTTTTCAGTGCAGTTATAGTTTTGGTTCCAGAGTGACACAAATTATTTGTTGTAGTCAGAACTAAATATTTAAAAATCGGAAAATATCACACAAAGGAAAAGCTGATGTTATTTCTACTACTTGATGTTAACAGTAACAACTGGCTCATACAGGATATCCACAAAGGATGAGTTCAGTGTGTATCAGCAGCATAGTCCAAATGCCACAACACTGATAAGTTCAACCTTTTACTCAGCTTGTATCAGTGATCCTCTCAAGGCATTTTCTGAGAAGGTGGCTTCTCCGTTGCCATCCACTCTTAATCCTACTTTCTTAGGTAAATCAACTCCAGCATTTCCATACCGTGGGTGGCCGCATGTTTTTGTGACTAGTTTCTTTATCAGCTGTAGAGTGCTGAAAGACTCTGAGTGTTTCATACTGAGCCGTGAGCCTTCACATCTCAGTGTTACCACTCCTGGGCTTTGAGGATATAATCGACTCACGTTTTGCTCACAGCCCAGTCAATGAGTCAATGCTAAAGCCTCTAGCCTGTTCAGGAGCTCGCTCATTTTTTCCACTGTTTAAGGAAGGGCAAACAAGAGGCCAGTTCCTTTGTGGGAGCCACGTGTGTCTTAAAATGTCACACTAAATGTCTGCTCTAACGAGGAAGCTTTATTTAATTATTTTTCGCCATTTTTCACTGCAGTGATAAGAAAGTGCTTTTTTTCTCAAAACATTAAACCTTATTGCCTAAAGTTAGCTTATGTAATACCACTGTGCCGTCACAGCTCCCTTTCACTACCTGTTTGTGCTGCCATGACAGTTACCATCCACAAATCCACTAAAGAGAAGTGACACTGCCTTGTCCTCACTGGTTGATACAATACTTTTGTAGCTCTTTTGTAGCACTTGGATATCTTTTGTAGTGACTGTGACTTCATGGTTAATTTGTTTATTTGCGTCCTACCAGATGTGCACTCTTTACATGATTTTTTTTTTAGAATTCATCTTATGTGCAGTTGTTTAGTTGTCAAAAAGTTTAGAATTTTGCTTTTTAAAATTATTGTTATTGATATTTTTATCTTGATGTTCTTAAATGTTCTTGTTTTTTATTCTGACTTTAGTTTTTTTTAATTAGATTAGTTAGTATGAGCACATTATTTCATATTTGAACATATTATGTCTTTGATTCTCGTAACATACATATTTTTCACTCACTGTTTTTTTTATTTTTTTTTCCTTGTGTTTGCTTTAATTTCCCTCTTCTTCTGCTTAAGGAGAGGAGGAACTTGTATGAGGCCAATTTGGAGAAAGTTGGCCTGGAGCTGGAGACGGAAGATAAATCAGTAAGTTACACTTGCAATGATTTGATTATCTCTATTAAAGTAAAATAGAATGTGTTGGCCGATCATAACATCTTATTTCATATCATCTAAATGCTAGTTAGTCAGTAAACTTAGAATTCATTAAAAGCCATGAATTTGAATGAATGATTTTTTGATAAATGAATCAGCAGCCCTGCACTCAATATAATGCGACGCTTTACATGATACCGTTTACTGTTGTTACCATCAGGAGTCAGAGGATGGAAAGACGTATTTTGTGAAGATCCACGCTCCCTGGGAAGTTTTGGCCACCTACGCAGACGTGCTGAAGATCAAGGTTCCATTCAAAGTCAACGACATCCCAGACAACAGAGAGATCCCCATGAACTGGCTGTCCACGCCGTTTCGTCTGCCGGAGCACATCATGCAACCTGAGCCAGACTTTTTCACAGCTCCCTTCAACAAGAGCAAGTCTGACTTCTTCCTTATCGACGACAAAGACACATTCTTTCCTCCCTCTACGCGCAACAGGATAGTAAGCATTTTTTAACAATGGCCGTCTTATCTTCTTCATGACCTTCAACTTCTTAGTAACAATTAATCTTAAAACTTTTTTTTAAAGCAACTTTCAAGCCTCTAAACAGCAAAATACTGTGGTTTGTTTGTTTTTCTTACCCATCAGGTCTACTACATTCTGTCCCGCTGTTCCTACTTCAGGGATGAATGTGCAGATAAAGACAAAAAGGGAATTAAGAGGTTGCTCAACAATGGAACCTACACTGCTGCCTTCCCCCTGCATGACGTGAGTCTCTTTCAGTCAACTTTTGACTTTTTTTATCAGCAGAAAATTGGGTCGTCAGTGGAATGTGCGCCCATTCCTCTCCAACATCCTGCTGGAGGCAGTGCTAGATACAACAATACGCATTTGAAAATTGCAATGAATATGTTAGTGACCTGTGTCTTCTGTGTGTCTGCAGTCAAGATACTGGACAAGATCGAGGGATGCCAACTGTGAGAGCGAGCGATACAATCTCTACAATCACTGGGCCAAATTCCTGTGTTTCTTCAAGGAGCAGCCCCTCAACCTTATAAGGTAAGACCTGAGAATCAACTACTTTTATCTGTTGTGTGTTTGGTCAACATTAATCCGACAGCAGAATTAACAGCAAGAATTCTTCTGTTTTCCCTTCAACAGGAAGTATTATGGGGAGAAGATTGGTATTTATTTTGCATGGCTGGGTTTCTACACTGAGATGCTGCTGTTTGCTGCAATTGTGGGGACGATTTGTTTCATTTATGGATTCCTTACCTATGATGACAACCAGTGGAGGTCAGTTGTACTAAAAATACTAGCCTGTTTCCTTCCATATGAAATGCAATATTATTATTTTTATTGTTATTAACCAAGCATCTTTTTTTTTTTACCCTACAGTAAAGAAATCTGCAGTGAGAACGTTGGAGGCAATATTGTCATGTGCCCACTGTGTGACAAAAAGTGTAGCTACTGGAAACTCAACACAACATGCAATTCCTCATGGGTGAGTCATTTTTGGTCATCGTGATTCATGTTCTACTCACAGTATGTGACATTTAAAGAGTTGTTGCAGCTAAATGTCAACAAATCAATTTTTCATGATCTCATTATTTCTTTAACGTTTCTCCTTTCAGCAATCACACCTATTTGACAATGTGGCAACAGTGTTTTTTGCCATATTCATGGGGATTTGGGGTGAGTGAAAATTTCAGCACTTTGTAGTTTGCATTCTAAAACCAGTGCACCACCTAGTGGGATTATTAGTCATTAAAATAATTGCTACTTAGCCTTCCAGAGTTAAAGGACTAGTTTCCCTTTTATTATAGTAATAGGCAGTAAGAAACTTCTGCCACCACTCTTATATAATAGGGTTGAATGGGGTCAAAGCAGTGGACAATGATATTTGAAAAGCTCAGCAACATTTCTTTTCAAGCGAGGCAATGCTTTTAATACTGATTCAATCAAACTAATTCAAGCTGACAAACAAGGTTATTAGTTTGATGTGATAAACCTGGTGAGACGGTCTTGTGCCTCTGCAGTGACGCTGTTTCTGGAGTTCTGGAAGAGGCGGCAGGCCCGGCTTGAGTATGAGTGGGATCTGGTCGACTTTGAGGAGGAGCAACAGCAGCTGCAACTTCGGCCAGAGTACGAGACCAAGTGCACCAGCCGCAAGATGAACCGCATCACTCAGGTGTTTGTGTGCTCATGAAATACTAATACACTGTATGGTACTGTTCTAAGGTGCAGCTCTCAGTCTGTGTAGCGTCTACTTTACCAAGCAAATATACTAAATGGTAGTCCTTGATTACAGATTACCGTAGCTCTTGTATTAATTGTACATAGGTAGTTTGCACTCATTCATTAGAACATTTTCTTAAAGTAAAAACCTGGTTTGAACTGAGACTCTTTGATTAGCAACAGTATGATTGGTTATAGGTTCTGACACACACAGACTTGTAAGATAAACAGAAACAGACTGCTGTAATTTGCCATGACCACATCCCACTCGTCTTTAGGAAACAGAGTGGGTAATGGAAAGGAGTGCTACAGATCTAGTGGGGAAATTGTTTCTGTGCTGGGCCACCGTGATCCTCTGGGTAAGGGTGGCACTCAACAAGGAATGCCAGTTTGGTGAGGAAGAGGTTTTGGTGTGGTGTAGTTTGTGTAGATAACAGACTTTTCTGGAAAGACTCAGAGGCACGAGTTCCCTTCTCTACGGCATTACACTGTTTGCTGATTGCGGATGATTATCTTGTAAGACGTTTTTGCAAAAGCATGGGTTTACCAGGAAACCATTAGATGACAGAATTGGACTCAGGATGACAAAACATGCACTGTGAGTTCTGATTGGGCAACGGAACTTTGTCTTACATGTGAGGCTAGAGGTGACTAAAGGAACGTGGCCTTTTAGAGCTCTCTTTTCAGGATATAACAAAGGCTAACTGACTCCTGTGTCCTTGCTTTGCTTGCTTATGATTTAGGAAATGGAGCCTTACTTACCCATAACAAGCAAGTGTGCACGCACATGTCTGTCTGGAGCCACCGTCCTGTTGTGGGTGAGCATAGTATTTTTGGTATACTTGATCAGTTTAGAGTGACTCCATCTATCATCTGTGTCTCCACCCTGTGTCCTTTGTCCTTCCCATCATACTGTTCATCATCATCATCATCATCATTATCATCATTAATGTCATGTGTCATGGGCTAGTATGTATAAAACTAATAGAAACTAAGCCCTCTTAAAACATCTAGAGCCAACACCAGGTCATAACGCTTCATGTTGAATAAATATATTGGAAGTCCCTAAAACTTAAAAATAATAAGATTAAGAGTAAAGTTATGCTGTTCTTTGACATGTGATGCCCTTAAAGTTTTACTCTGGGTAGTTTAATACATACTGGCCCAAAATGTGTTACTGCTGTACTCCTTTGTTTGTAAAAACCCATAACATGTGAGGTAATGGAAAGACTATGGTAGATATCTTCTCATAGGGCATGTGTGCACACTTCAGTCACTTCTAACGTCTAGGCTAGTTAGAAAACCTGCTTGCTTTTTGCACAGATATTTGCTTGCAATTGTGCAATTGATTTGGTGTTTTCACTGTACTTCTGTCTTGTGATGTTATGTGCCGTGTGGTTGTCTTTCATGTTGTCACTGTTTTCTCCGTCCTGAAGATCTCATTGATCATTGCCTGCATCATTGGGGTCATAGCGTACCGCTTGGCGGTGTATGCGGCCTTTGCTAGCATCATGAAGGACAGTCCCACCGCCCACCTGGAGGTGGTTGGCCCCTACATCACACCACAGCTGGCCACTTCTGTCACCGCCTCTTGCATCAACTTTGTCATCATCATGATCCTCAACCTCATGTATGAGAGAGTGGCTGTTTGGATCACTGATATGGGTGAGGGCCAGAGTAAAGGATTTATTTAAAGTGATTGCATTTCTGTGTCAATGTGTCCACACATCTATGTAAGTCTGTCAGTTCTTGAATCTGTTAAAATGTAAAATATACTTACAATCTTTGCTTTATGACATTTTCTTCTGTGGCAGAAATCCCAAAGACCCACCTGGAATATGAGAACAAACTGACGATGAAGATGTTCCTGTTCCAGTTCGTCAACTACTACTCCTCCTGCTTCTATGTGGCTTTCTTTAAGGGCAAGTTTGTCGGCTATCCTGGAAAGTATGCTTACATGTTTGGCTGGCACAAACTGAGGAATGAAGAGGTACCACATATGACATTACAAGATTTATGCTTGTGATCCAGCTTCAACTTGAATTGCAATTAAAGTTTGCTTCTGCTCCGTCCCTCCTTTACCTCACCTGTCTGCTCCCAGTGTGACCCTGGCGGCTGTCTCATTGAGCTGACCACCCAGCTGGTGATAGTAATGACTGGTAAACAGGTGTGGGGCAACATCCAGGAAGCTCTGGTCCCGTGAGTTCACGAACATCACATCATCTGTACACAGAATAGACGCAGGGAGGTTAGATTCACTCATTAAAAGCCTTGCATTTGCACCTCTCAAGCTCAATATGTCCATTATGAACAGTGGCGGCTGGTCAATACAGGGCGCAGGGGCACCACCCCACTACTAACTACTAGTGACTAGATAAAAAGTAGTTCTTAAATGTCAAATTAAATTTGAATTAATTATAACAAAATAATAAAAATAATAATGTTCCTATTCTGTTGCTATATTAACAATATTTGTATTATTAACAAATTTAATATTAGTCTTTACTGCGTGTTCACTAATTTTACACTTCCTGGATGCGGGACGCCGGCCACATGAGTGTGTATGTAGCTCAAAAAACTTTCCGTAATCATGTGACCTCGGCCTGGACTCTGATTGGCAGCTGCAGACTTTCTCACAGGGCGCAGCTCGGTGCGTCCTGGACCCGTCCACTTTTGCTGTAAGCCAATTAATTTTGTCTTTATTTGCTTTTGTCTTCTGTGGTTGGATATCAAAACTGTCCTTCGACGTTCTCACGACTGCGCTTTCTGACACCGTCACATGGTCTTTCCCCTCCTCTTCTACTAGATGACCACTACTGTCGTGGCGGCTTAATGCATCGGACATACTGTCAGTGAAGAAGAGACTGCTCATAGAAAAGACCGCGTGTAGAATACGTGTAACTCGGTTTAACCTCGGACAAATGTGACACCCTAGTTTGTTAGTTTTAAAGTCATTTTTGGTCACACACCTGCCAGCACACTGCAGCCACCAAACAGCAGCTACCGCAGCCTGCTATGTGGGGCGTTCAGGGAGCATCAGTAAATCGTAGTGTCTATCAATAGGAAAATGTTCAGCAAGTCATACCTTTTGCCTTTGACCAGGTGGGAGGTGCAACAAAATGAAAATGTAAATATTGGTGAAAGTTGATGAATGGTTCTGAAATTTAGTTCTGGTCAGTCTTGATAATGTTAAATTAGATGATGATTAAAATACCCTCCAGAGGTAGACAATTTGCATTCCTGTAAATAGTTGGGCCTGATGTTACTCATATTCTAGTTTCTAATTTTAAAAAAAAAAGGTCATTTGCAGACTGCGCCCCCCCACCAAAATTTTTCACCAGCCGCCACTGATTATGAATGTAACTTAATTTAATCTCACCTAATTCTTTTTTAACTGTAGCCTCCTTGTTTAGAGTGATCTCTCCTAGCATGAGTTTTGTTTAGTACTATAGTAATGTAACATATGAGTGACACAATGCATTATTGAAGTCACGTAAATATAATTTCCTACAAATAGAACTTCAGTAGTTGCAAGGTTTGGCTCAAAATGTTTTGTTGTCCTCACTGACATGTTGTGTTGTCTCTGATCAGCAGTAACTGTTAATCAAAAATAATACCCTTTACTGTCGAGTTCATCAAGGGAGCAATTTATTTTATATATGCTTACAATAAATGAATTGTGCATACTGACTCACTGTCACGCTGTGATGAGTCACTGGGACTCCTGACTTGGAACAAAGCATCAATAATGGTATAAGTAATGCCTTTGCTTTTGCTACAAGTGCATGTAATTAGAGGTGATCTACAGTCTCTCTATATATAACTATAGGAAATGTAGTCTTCTCCTCACTGTTTACAATTCAGTACAGCTCCCAGCACAGCTTTCAAACAGGGATTTATGTTGCACTAAAACTCTCTGTCGCCCCCTTGTGTCTGTCAGGTGGCTGATGAACTGGTGGGGCAGCAGGAAATCAAGAGGCCACCCAGAGAGTCTGTACAGCCGCTGGGAGCAGGACCACGACCTGCAGGGCTTTGGACATCTGGGCCTCTTCTATGAGTACCTGGAAATGGGTAAATATTCAGCACATAATCAATCTGTTGCACACATAAAGAAATTTAGAGACTGTTTTGGTGGAGTCCAAGTTAAACCAGAACCAAAATCAGCAATGTGCTTTAAAATACTGCATTTCATGGACCCAAAGTACTGATGATAGATAGATAGATAGATAGATAGATAGATAGATAGATAGATAGATAGATAGATAGATAGTCGTCCTTTAGATGGTGCTGTTTCCACATACCGTCTCTCACCAACATCTCTCCTGTCTGTGTCCCAGTGATCCAGTTTGGTTTCATCACACTGTTCGTGGCCTCCTTCCCCTTGGCACCCCTGCTGGCCCTCATCAACAACATCATTGAGGTTAGAGTGGACGCTTGGAAACTCACCACTCAGTTCAGACGCCCCGTGGCAGCCAAGGCTCACAGCATCGGAGCCTGGGAGGAAATCCTCAATGGGGTGGCCGTACTCTCTGTTGTCACAAATGTGAGTGCTGGACTCTGCTCATAATAGGGGCGTATCTAACAAATACTTTTACTGTCTTTTGAACAGAAATTTCAACTTAAACTAGTTAAGTAAAAGTAAGAAAACGCTTACACACAAGCTAGCACAATTTAACTGAAAAGGCTAAACAAATAACATTGTTTGTAATTAAAAGCCATTTGAAACCATTAATCACAATATATCTTCAGTATCCAAATGGTATTTTAAATGCAGCTGACTGTGCGTTTCTCCAGTCGAGTGGTTATATGCCACTTAATTCGGACATGTACAATCTTGTTTCTATTTTCTACAATATTTACATACTACACTGATTTTAAGAGAACTCATCTCTCTATCTGGGTATTAGCTGCTGTCTATCAGGGGCTAGTGGCCAGTAGCTGTGTAACATCTTACATGCAACAGTTGCCTGCCATTGTACACAAATAAAATCATATTTAGTTAAACCATCTAGTATATCTCGTGTCCACCAGCGAGACGAGCAAAGTTCAATTGTGCACATCCCATTATGCTAATTCAGCTAACCCAACTAACATTTCTGTCCTTGCTTCTAGGCCTTCATTGTGGCCTTCACCTCTGATATGATCCCTCGGCTGGTGTACATGTACGCCTACCAGCCAGAGGGGGCGATGAATATGAAAGGCTACATAAACAACAGCCTGTCGGTGTTCAACATCTCTGAGATCCCAGTGGAGAGCAGGCCAGATGACGACGAGAATCCCGTCTGGTTCAACAGCTCCATCACTACCTGCAGGTGTGTGTGGTTAGAAGACTCAGGGTATAAAATGTGTTTCCACTTCTATGTTAGTGTATTACTGAGGCTGAACACGTATACAGAGCTTTTACCAAAGTAAAGAAGACGTGAAATTCCGTTTGAGTGAAAATGCAGAGGCGCTTCCAACATATCAACATAAAATCAGAATATTTACTGTGGACAATGGCCACATTCAGATGTAGCATTTAAATGTAGCTAGTTGAGTAAAGCTAATTTAGCCTGTTTTATAACTCTGGTTTGGTAATTCACCCTGTGCACCCACTGCCTGCTTCCAAAGTGCGGTTAAAAACTTTACTGAATACTGTATAAGCTTGTCTTGAGTTCTACACATTAAATTGATTATATTGTGTTCTCTGCAGCACGGCACCCGAGTAAATATTATTAAATTCTCCTTTGCACAAGTAGACTTAAAGATGACAATAAACAATCTTGAGTTTTCAGCCAAAGCTTGTGTTAATATTTGCATGAAATTGAAATATGTGGTATTTTCTTGCTTTGTAGGTATCGTGATTACCGCTATCCTCCTGGGCACGAGAAGCAGTACTCCCACACTATGCAGTTCTGGCATATTTTGGCTGCCAAGCTGGCTTTCATCATTATCATGGAGGTAACAGAGGCCTCCGCTCCTCCACCAGCACCACCAACACTTACTGACCATTTGAACTGAGCGTCATATTCTTACCTTGTGTAGCAGTTGATTGTTATTTTCAAAGAAACTCTCGTTCTCCTACACACACACACACACATTTTCAGATATAAAAATCCACGCAGAGCTTCTTTTTCTTCTTCTTCAGCTCTTTGTTTCACTGACTTCAGTTTTAACCGACCAGTTGTGTCTTCTCCCTCCGCAGCATGTCGTGTTCATAGTTAAATTCTTTGTGGCCTGGATGATTCCTGATGTGCCATCTGACGTGAGGGCTCGAGTCAAGAGAGAGCGCTACCTGGTCCAGGAGTATCTCCACAACTATGAAGTGGAGAAGCTGAAGATCCAACTCAGCCAAAACAGCAACGAGTGCACCTGCACGCCCATGATCTATCCGTCTTTAGCCAAACACGAGGTGCTGTCAGAGTGCCTTTAGCCCAACGAGCTGCTGGTCGGGACGTGGTGATGTAGATTCCCCTGCTTGTGCATTCTGATACTGACCACCACTTTGCTGCGTTGTTTGTTTGTTACATGCACACAGGCGACGTTTACTAAAGAGCTAGAGGTTTACTCAACTCAAAGCTATCCCTCTACTACAAACCTGCTGATAGTGGAAGTGCACACCTTACAACGACCAAGTCTCCATGCATGCTGAAACTTTGAGGCACTTGAATTTAAACATCTTTCTCTTATTTATGGCTTTTCACTCTCTGTGTTGTATTGATAGTGCTGAGGATAATCAACGTTTGCTGTAAGGAAAGAGGAAATCTGAAACACTGTGTCTAAACCGGACGGCTTGATTTAAAACAAGATTATTTATTTTAAGTGCCACTATGAATAACCAAAGACTGAATGCCTTAATATGATATATCACAAACTTATCATTGGTTCTGTGTCAGTCAAATGACAGTTACTGCAGAGTTTGCTTATTCTTGAGGGTTTGATTATTTCTCATGTTCATACTTTACGTGCAGATATACGAAGCTTTCCAGTGTCATATAATGTAAGTTGATGTTTTTTGGTTTTCTACAGTTATTGCAACAAATGTGAGCATTGTTTATTTCTCAGCATTGAGGTCACAGCACAGACGTAACACAATTTTCCCAAATCATATCCCTCGCTCCCCTGGCTGTTAGCAGGCCTGGACACGTTTTGTCATAATCTCATAACAACCCAACAGTTTCTGCAGGCCAAAACCTGACATGTGAAGTAGCTTTTTTTTTTTTTTATATAAAGAGAAATCTGTGCTGCTGTTACTACTGTGAGTAAGGACAGATTTCGTCCTGCGATGGCCAGTTGTTCAGCCGCAGAAGCAGCAGCTGGTACGTGTTGACAGTGTGTCCTGTCTGTTCATGGAGACGTGAGGCGAAAGCCCAAAGAGAGTGAAGAGATCCCTTTTTAATGTGCCTCTGTTTACCTTCACGTCGGCGCTAATGAAAGCCTTCCCCCACCTACTGAACTGTGTTTGCGCCATTACACAAAGCACATCAGCCATCGCCTCATTCTTGTGCTTCTGGTTTCGTCTGCTGTGTCTGTGTAGAGAAGGAAAGATACACATTCTTTTTTTTTTTTATTTTGCACAAAGCACTTAATGAAACATGACTACCACAACATACACATGTCAAACTAACTGTTGACATGACACTACGTTCTCACAATCAGTGTTTTAGGGCAGCAAAGTGTGATTATCGTTCATTGAAATGGAAGAAGAGTCGTTATGTTGCTAAGAAGGAGTTCCCTGTTTTGATTTTGATTTTTGTGTTAAGTTTAAATGCAAAACAAGATGTAGCTTTTTGCTAGAAATTATATGAAGGATGTTTCACATTTATAAGATGGACATGTGTGAGGTGTATCTGTTATTGAACTATTTAAATGTAAAGTAGCTGACTAGTTGTGCTACAGACTCAGACAACTCTGTTGATTTAGAGTGTGTTTAGATGTGACAGTCTGACTACACTTGCCTTAATTATGACCTTTGCTCAGCTGAACTAATGCCTGTTGATGCCTTAATACATCCAATACTTTGTTTTCTATTATATTTCTTTGTACTTCTCTCTCACCCTTTTTCTTGTGTATGATCTCTTTTGTTATGCTTTAGTAATATTTTATTTTGTCGGAGGGTGAAAAAGGTGAACCTGTTTACTGTATGCTTCAAGTTAAAATTTCAAGTTTTTATTCATTTTTGTAATTGTCCTATATCCAAATGTGTAATGTAACAAAAGACAAAACCTCCTGAATAAAGTACCAGTTCAACTTGAGCACTCGTCTGCTGTGTGTGGAGCAAGTGCTGAACGCTGAAGACCATCGGTTTCTTTTCCTGAGGACATGAAAGTCGCTGTTCACAGAACAGATGGTCGGAGTGAACACTGATAACTATTCAGTGTTTGTTCACACTGGTGGGTGTGTTTTACACCCAAGTGTGTTGGCATGGTTTCATTTGGCACAGAGCTGGTGTCACTGTCATAAAGCCATGGGCAACACTCAGGTTCAGGTAAGGTTTAATGGTTTTAATGATGTAAGCCAGGTTAGGATGGGTTTATGAATCAATAAAAATGGTTTTATAGGCTATATGTGAGAGTGAATACCTGTACATATCTCTAACTGGTTTAGTGTTCTGAAGTCCATGAAGCTGACTAAGTGAAGCTTCACATAACAGAAGAAATCCTTCTGTTTTGTAATGCTAGTGTCTATTAAACCTCATCCAGCCCCCAGCAGCGGCCTTCTGCGAGCTGGACCCTCATCAGGGTTTATCTGTGGTGCAGCTCTACTTGATGCCCTCCTTCTTCCTGGCGGTGCTCATCCTGGGCCTCCCCCTCAACCTGCTCTCCATCTGGGTTTTCTCCCACCGCCTGCGGAGATGGACCCGCAGCACGGTGTTCCTCTTCAACCTGACCCTGGCCGACTTCTCCTGGCTGCTGGCCCTGCCCTTCCTCATCCACTACCACCTGAATCACCTATGCTGGACGCTGGGTTTGCCACTGTGTACGGCCGTCAGGATGCTCTACCACAACTACTTCTACCTCAGCATCTTCTTCGTCACCTGCATCAGTGTGGATCGATACGTCGCCATCGTGCACCCGCTGCGCTCTCTGGTGCTGCTGGGCCGCCGGCAGACCTGCCTGCTGTGCGCGGCGCTGTGGGCGCTGTGTCTGCTCCTCAGTGTACCTGTTGCCACCATGACTCTGATCCAGACCTGCCCCGGGAGCAACCGCACAGTGTGCACCCTGTACATCCTCCTGAACGAGCCCAGGGAGAGCCTCCCTTACTCCCTCTCATGCTCCGTCTTCGGCTTCCTCTTCCCGCTGCTCTGCATCTGCTACTGCGGCCTGCGCAGCGTCAAGGAGCTGCGCCGCCGGCCCGATCCGCACAACAAGCAGCTGCGTCTGCGGCGGTTGCTGAGCACAGTGCTGGTCTTATTTGCGCTGTTTTACCTGCCGTACCACCTGAGCCGCAACGTTGCGGGCGTGATGCGCGCAGTTTACCCGGATAACCCCGCCTCCTGGCGGCCTGCAGACATGGCCTTCTCCCTGGAGATGTGCTTCTGCGGCCTCATCACCTGCGTTAACCCGCTGTTCAGCTGCTTCATCGGCCGCCAGTTCAGGAAGGAGTTTTACGGCACTTTTGCGGGCATGTTTCCTCACTGTGCCGGTCTGCAGGTGGACTCACTGGTGTCCAAACGGTCCCGGATGACGCCGATGAGAAGACAGAGGATGTCTGCTGTCACACCTGTGAACGCACTGCCTGCTCCCAGACCATAGAGGCTGTGGAAATATAAATAAATGATGTTCTTTCACTGATTGTGTCAAACATGATCAAGTGTAAAGGTGTGATCCTTGTCTGTGTTGAAGCTCAGTCATGCAGGTCAGACTCATCAGTAGAAGGCAGCTGGACCAAACAGAGGTCCAGCTGCCTTCTACACAATCATGTGTTTCCTGTTGAGCCACCCGTTTAACTTGACTGGTGACATGTGATAAATACACTGTACACAGCAATGGTTTCCAGTCTGCTTTATCTCACCATCTCTTATCAGTTGATCTTTCTTACACAACACTGCCTCTGCGTGGCTGCCTGCGTACTGTACTCCAGTCTGGTTCCACATGCGTGAATAGCAACTGTCTTTCTTTCTTTTTATCAATGAAAATATGAAATCCCACTTCATTCAGTTTTAGAATTTTAATTCCCACATTATAAAAAAAAAAAAAAGATTTGTATTTTCTACAGAGGCCAAACCAAACCTGAGAAATAACCGAATGTCAAGGCGGTGTGGCCGTGGAGGAGGTGGGGGGGTCTGCTTTGTGCCTGCTGCTGCACCAAGTGGTTTATAATTGGTCGGAGCTCATCCTGAAACCCCCTTTTTCAGTTCATTTAGAAATTAGTGAAGGACAGAGGTTATGGAATTGGCAGTTGAGAGATTTTTAAGTTGTAATTGAATTAGAGGAGCGCAGCGGTGGGAGCGCAGGGAGGAGGGGCGCTGCTCGGAGCTGCTGACAGGTAGACGAGCTGCGCGCTGTCCGCGGTGCTGAAACCTCCTCCGGCTGCCGCCACACCGGAGCTCCTCACCTCAGGTTAGACCGCAGCTCCAACGACCTTCCACCGGCTCCAGATTTCTCCAAAGAAAAAAGAACAAAAAAAAAGAGCCTCCAACTTCTGTATTTTCTGCTGTTTTCTCATCGCTGACTGGATCTTAAGATGGCACTGCACGGATTAACATTGCGCAAGGCAAAAGCGGACTTATTTGACTGCTGTTTTGTGACTGTGAAAGCAGCCCTTTCAGACTGAACGTGTTTCATCCTCTTTCTCCATTTTCGGGCTCTTCCTTCTTTTTTTTCTTCTTCTTCTTTCTTCTTCCTGGACATCGAGGCCGTTTTCTGCGTAAAAAAAGAAAAGAGGCGCGTTATTTGGATTAATATCTCAACAATATGCTCGTTAATGCTGCACTTCCATTTGTTATAGTATTATAGAATTTAAAATAGATATATTATTTGGATATGGAGCCAGGGAAGGAGAAAGCTCTCCCCACCACTAAAGAGGGGCTGAAACAAATCGCAGGAAAGGCCCTTGGGGGTCTGTACAGGTAAGAAAAGAAGAAAATCTATGCATTTATTTTAATCACAAATGCGTTGGGATGAATTCAAATAGAAAATACGCAAATGTTAACATGGCACACAAAACGTGCATTGGCTTTTAATGCGCTCATTCCTGCGTTACGATCAAATCAAAAGGGGAAATCTCTTCTTTATGGGATGAATCACGAACGGGATGTTGAAAGCAGAGTCGTGTGGCCCGAATATTTAAGGATCAGATATTTCCCTGGAGGCTGGTCCCCCTCCACCAGCAGCTGTGGGTGTTTTTAATAATTAATGAAACAGAACGAGTCGTGACACAAGGTCGGAGGATATCTATTACCTTATGTATCCATCTGTATTAATACAAGATCGATGAGCTTCGTATCAAATGACTTCTTATATTCTTTATAGTCACAAAAGACATGAAGTGTAGCCCAGAGGAAACCTGGCTGCAAACCGTTTCAATTTAGAGTAATGAGGCTGGATGTAGTAGATCAGATGTAAAGAATTTAATTGTTTGAAAAATTTTCATTAAAAAAAAGCAAATTCCAAAACGAATTTTGCACAAATGATCCAAAAGCATTTCAGGAGATCTTTTGTGCGTTTTATTCGTTTATTTTTTTTGAGGCCTAAAACACTGATTTTCAGCTGCTGGGTTTGATTCCAAGCTGCAACACAGAAACGTGACTCAAAGCTGTGAAAAAAAATCTGTTGGTTTGATTTCAGCTTGTAGCAGGCCTGTGATTCCACTGGATGAGGCCTTCACAATTCAGTGTTTTAGTTAAGAGGGGGAGAAAAAAAACAATTTCTGTGGAGAAATTCCGATCCAGAGCGGAATTCCAACACCATATTTATGAGGGCTAATTAAAAAATGAAAAGGGGGGGAAAATAACTCTAAACAACGATGGTGCTGATAGTGCTGCAATGCGGTATGAAGGTCATTTTCTCTTCTGTTACCATCCACACAGCCTTTTTCTTTCTGCGAGAAACGGATGATTTTTAAAAAAAAAAATGATATTAGGATTCCACGAGAAGGATGCAGGCTTTCAGGGGCCTGCGTCAGATTTATAAACGAGAATAGAGACATTAAAGGCCTGTTATTGAAGGGGCACGATGAGAATCAGTTCTCTTTGTAGTGCAAAAATGCATATGGAAAAAAATAATCATTACATAAGGAAATGCAGGAGGTTTATGTTTGTGCGTAAAATGAAGAAAATCTGATTTTCCAGTGATGTTTCTCGCGTCTTTAAAAAAAACACCTAAATCTCCTTGTGTTATAGATTTCTTTTATACATCCAAATATGAATTTAACCTATAAAAAAAACGGTGTTATATAATCGGCTTGTCGTGCAGGAGGCTTGAAAAGAAGCAGCAAACAAGTGAGGCCATCGAGCTGACGGAGGATGGGAGACCCAGGGAGGACCAGGAGAGGAAGACGCCCCTGTGTGACTGCACATGCTTCGGGCTGCCGCGCAGATACATCATCGCTATGCTGAGCGGGCTCGGCTTCTGCATCTCCTTCGGTATTCGGTGTAACTTGGGTGTGGCCATCGTCAGCATGGTCAATAACCACACGATCCATCAAAACGGCAAGATCATCATCAAAGAGGTGCCTGTAAACTCCGCCTCTCTGTCTCCAAACCAGGAACCCCCATATTCTGATAGGAGCAGAGGAGCCACAGCCAAAGAGCTGAGGATAGGTTCTACTGGTTAGATTCACCTGGTGAAAATAAATCTAACTAGAAGAGCTTTTCAATTACATTTTAGGTGATGTTATGGAAATTAATTATGGTTGTGTTATTTCTATGCGTAATTTTTATCGAAAACGTGCGTATTTTTTGTTCCTATTAGATTTTACTCACATACGTCACTGCCAAGGCATTAAAGCATCAAATTAAATATACAGACATCCTCTGAAATTATTCCCCCCTTACAAAAGAATCGTTTTTTAATTCAATGCTAACGAATTAAACCTTTAAAAAAAATAAAACTTTAAAGTAATTGTCTTTATTTTCATGTGTCTGAAAGAAAGCGAAATTCAACTGGGACCCAGAGACTGTGGGGATGATTCATGGCTCCTTCTTCTGGGGCTACATAGTTACACAGATTCCAGGAGGGTATATCTCCTCAAGACTGGCTGCAAACAGGTAAAAGAAAAATGAAATTCCCGAATAAATAATGTGTGGGTGTTAAGAAGGCTTTTAAGATATAGGTGTCCATCTTGTTGCATTTTTTTAAAAAATGTATTTTTGAATTGAAGGCGTGGTATTTGTGCTGTAGTCGGTGCTGTGAATGTTAAAGAAACCAGCAGATAAACTGGGGATTTGGCTGATGGCCGCCAGGCGTGCCTCCTCATGTTAATGAGCTCCCATGGGAGGACCATGTCTAATCCTTTATGTTGGGAGAGGCATGGCAACCACACCAGCCAAAGCCCTGCGTGAAGCATGGCTCCAAGTAAGGACTGGGGTGTGATTTTTAAATGACCGTTTTACTCCTGTATTTCATTTTTTAAAAAAGCTGATTAGAAAGCTACAGTTGAACAAAGGAACAGAACAAATGTGCAACAAAGGACAGTAAGCACAAAATTTTAGGATTCCCCTTTGGAGTATTTTGGAAATATGACTTCACTACAGGAGAGGTTCTGTCAGATCACAGCATCAGTCTTCATATATTAGGGCACTGTTCAAGTGTTTTTATGTGGGGAGTGGAGTCTAAAATAAGATGCAAATCTTTGAAGAGCCTCATCATGCCAAGTCAGCTGAGCCCACTGACGCCTTCTGCTGCAAACACCTCCTCTCCTCACTCCCCTGGAAGCTGAATAACTGCCTGTTGTGTGTGTGTTTGTTTGTGTGTATGTGTGGCATCCAATTAGGAGTGTTTTTTTTATCCAGTATGTAGTAAAGAAATATACTGTACAACATTATATAACATTTTGTTGAATGTTTCAGTGTGTCTGATGCACCTGCTAGGAATCAGCACTGTTGCTGTGTCTCTGTCTGAATGATGATTTTATTTGGCTAATAATTTGACAAATAATCCCAACACACTGTTTATGCAGAGTTTTTGGTGCTGCCATCGTGCTGACATCCACCCTGAACATGTTCATTCCCTCCGCCGCCCGGGTGCACTATGGATTTGTCATCTTTGTGAGGATATTACAAGGCTTGGTGGAGGTACTGATGCAGTTTTGCACGTCAGATTTTGACCTTTAAAAGACTCAAAAGTGATGCCTCATTATCAAGCCGAGAGCTGAACTTGACCCCTAATGAAACTGCCCTGACATTCTGTATTCAGCCAGGTTTTTTTTTTACTGAAATCTCATGTCCCACGTCAAACCCTTCCTGCTTTCTGTTTGAATTTCCACTGCAAAAAAAAAAAAAAAACACAAAATGTTGGGCCCATTATGAAGAGGCTCCATTCATTATACTGTACACAGATTACTGCGCAGTGGGCAAACAACATAAAACCCTGAATAGCAGAGCTTATGTAGGTAGGTTTGTCGTGCTGAAACCGCTCCATGTTCACATAGAAACACGTCGGACAAAAGAGATAAAAAGCACTCGATGCAGGCAGCTCCCGCAGCTCAAGAAGGGGCACGATTTCAGAGATGCTATTATCAGATTGAAGGTCATCCTCTTTTGTCGTTTTGTTTAGCTGCATGCTGCCGTTTCAATAGCGGCTCATGACCATTGAGGGAGAGGAGAGAGGGGAGAGAGGGCTGGCTGCGTTCAGCAACACGACTTA